ATTTCATCGGCTAGCTACAAAATTTTTCTAACCTATATCAAAATAGAATAAAAAAAAAAAACAAAAATTAAATAAATCTAAAATGTAATGACAAAACATTTACTTACTCTGCGTAATCTTCATAGTTTATCGTAAACACGAATTATATAATAATCTTTCTTGCCTGCTAGACGAATTGTTAATCATTTTTCTGAAAATGTATATTCTTCATCTGTCTCAGATAATTCATCAAAATAATAGTCTCCTTTGTTAATTATTTTTTCAAGGTCGGCTTTAAAATCGTCAAAGTTCATTATCAGAGCAAGGTCATTAAGATTTTTATCATTAGAATTAATCATATGATTAATACTATGAATTCGTCTTCTTTTTTTTTATAAATCATAAATTTTTTTGTAATTAGTATCAAAGACCCGATATTTTTATAAATTAATTGATTATATATTAAAGTGTCACTACTATATTTAACCGATGAGTCCTACTTATTTCAAGGCACTGAGCATTTGTTTTTTTTCTTTTTTTATCAATTTTCAATCTATTTTCATTTTTACTTATTTGCTTTTTTCACGTCGATAGTGGTAAAGGCTTTGGAAAACGTATTTAAGTTCAGTTAATTTATATCTAAAATGACTCTTCAAAGCCTTACTGATCTCTGGCATAATGCGTTTGTTTATATGATGAGAAATATCTGCCTATTTTTTTTGTGAATTGAGGCGAAGAGTATCATCAAGGCTATCTAATATGTTAATTATCTCATCCTATTAAATTAATTAATTAATTAATAATGCTACTACTACATATTTAATTTTATAATATCATTTATATACCTGGAAGAGCTTATATTGACTTTTGTTCATATCTTCTAAAAGCTTATGTGATTTTCTTGCATATCTGGTAGGAGGTTCCGGAGTTACTAAGGGCTTCTTTCGATTATCTTTAGCAATATTACGAATGTTTTGTTCTTTTTGCTTACCCTTTCGATTATTAGGGCCAGCGTTATCAGTTGTAGTGGTTGTACAAATATTATAAGGAGATTCTGTAGGTTTAGTAGCTTCAGCAGCTCCAATAGTATCAAGGTTATCAACCCCATATTATCTATTGTATAAGAAAGCCTAGTTGTTCCAGAAGTTTCAAATTCATCATTATCAACATGTTCTTTAAACCTAGTTGTCTCAGCAGTTTCAAATTCATCATTATCAATATGTTTTTTAGATCCAGTTGTTCTAGCAGTTTCAAATTCATTATTATCAATATGTTCTTTAGATATCATTGATTTACCAGATTTTAAATGATTAACTTCGTTAATCAAACTTTGCATAGTACTTTTCAAAAAAGAAAGTTCTATTGACATATAAACTTTTTGTTAAGTCTATTGGTAACAAATAGTAGAAATTGATTCGTATTCATTTTTTTTATAAACACCCAGTTCGAACCAGTTTTTATAAACTAAAAAAAAATTTTAGTCACCTTGTCTTTGTCAGAACTTCTTGATCAGTCATTTATTGGAGAAATTGATCAATAATGCGAATATTCATTAGTTAGAGATATTGATTGATGATGAGAACATTTGTTAGTTAGAGATATTGATTAACATCTACATCTTTCGGTTTCTCAGTAGTTTCTATTACTGGTGTAACTTGAAGTTTCCGAATAATGATGAGGTGAAGTGTCCAAATAACTATAAACTCGGTGAAGTGGAGTTTAAGAATACCTATTACTACGGCTAAGGCATTGATTTTGGTATGCAAAAATAGATTAGTGACAATAAGCCATTGCTGATTGAAGTGGTATACTTCTTGGAGTTGATATAAATAGTGAAATTGACGTCGACCTTTAATAATGTTGATTCTGTATAGGCTTCTAGTACGCATTTTCA